TAGATATCCGTAAAAAATCTATTATGGACATCCATTAGACGTATATTATAGATATTTAACAGATATATTTTTCAAGACTTAATAAATTATTAAAAAATATATTTGCCGTACTTTTCATTATATTTACCTAACTGAGCGTTTATTATTACATAAAAAATATTTATGTAGCTCCGTGTGCGATATTTATCTCTATGATAAATGACAGATAGACGTATAAATGGATGTTTATATTAAATCCATTATTATTTTAGAGAACTTATTTAATTATTAATAAAAGTGATGATGTTATGTAGGCAGTGCGCACTAGTACAGGGCGCAGGCTACCGACTTCGCTGTTTGTGTTTGTGAGAAAAGTGAGAAAATAAAAAATGTGCGCGTATGATATAATAAAAAAAAGTAAGTATAGAGAAATCTTATTAATTTTATTATTATTATTAAAATTTTATTAATTTTATTATTATTATTTTTGTATGTTTTGTGACGTTTTTCGCGGTGGTAACGTAATTCTCGCGCCGCTCCCCCGCAAACGGAGATTACTTCCCGGGACTTAGGTGAGCGTCCGCGAAAGGACAACGTCTAATCACTGGCAGGACAGAAAAGATGGCCCGAAACGAGCATCGCCTGGTCGAGTCGACGAATACTTGGGTGTCGTTTTGGGCGCCAGACGCGGAGTCGCGTCAAAAATCAGCGTCACTCGGCACGACGGGCCGACTAGCTCTTTTGGGAACGGAGAGGGGCGAGGTTTAGCAAAAGTTCGGAATACAGGCTGTCCCTTGACCTCGCGATAGGAAGCGCAAATAAAGGAAAGAGAATTGTGATTAATCAGCACGAATTAATGGTTAATTGACAGTTTATTACGCGTGTAGAAGGGCAAAAATAATATAAAAGAAATAATATAAGAAATAGTAGAAACGAAAGATTGGTTACAAAATGATATAAAAGCAAAGATAACAGGAGTGATAGTAAAGAAAAAAATATATAAGAAATATGAAATAGAGAGATGAATAAGCTACGGCGGTAGCATCCGAAAATAATACAAACAAAAAGAAGACACGGAGTCCACGACGACTTACAATAATTAACAAACCGTGTCACGCGAGTTAACGAGACAAATTAATGAATTGAAACGACACCGCAAAAGTACTGGACGCGATACGGTACTCGAGGATTCCAGCCGAAAGATAACAAGCGCAGGCACTAAAATATAGCAATCGCGGGGCGCAAAGCTAGAGGCAGGCTAAACAGCTAGAGAGTGCAAGCAGATGTGCAGGGCAACCACTAAGCCGCAATAAAATAGCGTGCAGTCGCCTTTTTACAAGCCGTGGATCAACCCGGACTTACTTGTTACGTTGAGGATCGCAATTTGGTCGACTGGCTCACTCTGCCACGCAGCTTTCGCCGGTTTTGTGTCGCTAGGCCCAAAAGATTAAATCGAGCCGATTTCTCAATCTACCCGCATGCACTCAAAAGAAAATACTCGCGATACAGTGCGAAGGAGGTGCGACGTCGGAGTGGCTTTTCCCGTTTGTGTATCACAAAATAATTGGCAACGCTCTTTGTCTTGGCGCCAGGAAAATCGGCCACACGATACGTTACTCGACCGCGAATAATCCCGGACAACTTATACGCTCGAAAGGCGACACGCCTTCACCGTACGCTCGCTAATAGTTCGGCGATAATTGTCCTAAAAATTCACCATCCGAAACTGTCGTTAATCCGCACGTTAATTCGGCACAATATTCATTACCGGTCCACACACCGCTTCCGACTCGCACACACCTCACTCTAGCCGATCGCACGAGAAAAATCCGATTTCGTCTTGACGATTTCTTACCGCGGCGGCTGATTGCCGTCGGTAGACGAGATCCGACGGTACGCGAGCGATACGTTTCAACTATCACGGCACACGCACACGAATAGGCTTGCTAGACAAATAGTACAAAAGATAATAGAAACGGACGCACACAAATAACGCAAAGAGGCTACTTGGCGCCGGATCGCCACTCCAGGGCTTGACTTAGGTTCGCGAAATTACAATGAAACATGCACTTAACCTACGAATCTACAACTACAGCCACGAAGCCCCGTGAAACCCGATTCTGGCCGCTGTCGAAAAACAATCGTGAATACGGCTAAGAATACGTCCTTGCCGTCGCAAACCAAACGCGAAAAGCAAGCGACCAGCCTCGACACAAGGCCTGTGCAACGCGGATTTGTGGCTAACAGAACTAAAACGGGCACCTCACCGTCGTCGGTTGCTCTCCGGCATGTCCGGTCTTCTCCGTCCGGATTAACTCGTCGGCTTCCCTT